CAAACCCATTTTATTCAGTATATCCTAAGTATTACTTTACATATTGAGATTTACACCTGTAATTGGGCTTTGCCTGTTGGATGTTATTGAAATAAATAAATGAATAAATAAATAAATAAATAAATAAATTTCAAAAATAATGGAAAAAACAATGAATAACAGACTGCATGATTATTTAGAGGCAGAAGAATATCTTAACAACCATCAATATGGCTTTCACAAATCTTGTGACACAAATTCAGCTGTCTTGGATGTTGTGACAGAATTTCAAATGCAACTAGATGCTAATAAAATGTGTGGACTTCTGTCAATAGATCTTCGCAAAGCATTTGATGCTGTGAATTATGAAATTCTCCTCAATTCGTTATACCAACTTGGCATAAGAGGTATAGTTCATAAATGCTTTCAAAATTATTTGAGTGGTAGAAAGCAATTCGTTTATCAAAGTGCAGTTTTGAGTACAGCTAATGATAATAAGTGGACTACCACAAGGGTCAATCTAAGGCCCTGTTTTTTATATATATCAACTCGATTGTTATAACATCAAATTGAAAGTAAAAGTTCACATGTTCGCTGATGACACTACATTGATTTATTCCGCAGACTCAATCTAATAAATCAGAAATGCGATTGAAAGTGAAATTTTATCTCCATGGTTGTCCTGTAATAAATTGAGTATAAATTACAGCAAATCGGCATTCATGAATATCTCTGAACGACGCCTCTCAAGTGAACTGAAATTTGATATCAAATTCAACAATGAAATCATCAAATACTCCACAGCCATCAAATTCTTCGGGATATTTTTTGATGAACATTTGTCATGGTCCAAAAATATTGAATCGATCAGAAAGAAAATATCTTCAGTAATCGGAGTACTCTACAAGATCACATCGAAATACTTGGAATGTATATATTTCTCCTTGGTTTATTCAAAATTAAAATACTCGATTTCAGTTTGGGGTACAGCTTGATTATCAAATATAAATCCAATCAAAATTGTTCAAAACAGAGTTATCAAATGTATATACAAACTAGATTACTTGGAATCAACAAGAAATCTTCATAAACCTTGGAAATTGTTAGATATCAACTCCATTTACAAATTCAAAATATCAAATCTCATGCATTCCGTCAAATATAATTATTTACATTCAAATCTGAATTTTTAAGTCAACAGTCATAAACACAAACACATTACCAGACAAAATATGTTAACTCTCGTCAAAATTAAATCAGATATGGGTAAAAGATCTATTTTATACAATGGAACACTTCTCCATAATAAATAACCTGTCAGCATGAAGAAAAAATTGAGTGCTGAGAAATTCGAAAAATAACTGAAAAAATACTTATGTCTCTGATTCTCTTATAATCATCATAAATCAATTCAAGAACTTATATTCAACAGTCTCTAGGAGGAACAACATTATATGTACTATATGAATATAATTAAAAAATGATTATCTGATTATCTAATTTTTTGTTGTTGCTCTTTCATGCTATAAACATATATGTTTCTTGGGAATGATAAAGATTGAAGATTGAAAGCGTCATTCTTGGACTTGTGCTTCGAGCAGGCTATCTCTCGATCCAAATTAATATGTGTTACAAAAGTTCCTTATGCACCCAGGTAGTAAAGAATATCATTATCACCCAGGGACCAAGACTATATCCCGAGGCTTCAGCCGAGGATCATAGTAAGGTCCCGTGGTAATAATTTTATTCACTACCAACAGGAAAATCGAAAATTAAACAAGTTAATCCTATCTGGAACAGATCATGTGTAGTTCATTGCATCCTTTGTAATGACTGTAATCTGAAAAATATTGGTCAAACTTCTCAGGATCTCAAATCTAGGATATTTGGCCCTAATAGCGATTGCAGACTCCTCAAAAGTAATTGTGGACTCGCTGAACATGTCATCACTGATGATCATCATATGAAATTCGAAGAAACAAAAATTTCGCATTCAGAAAAAAATGTAACAAAAAGAATGTTTTTAGAGATGATTGACATCAATAATGAGAAATACACTATGAATAAGAGAACAGATATTGATGATCTCAGTCAGATATATCCTTATTTATTATTTTCTGTTCATGAAGATATTCAAAATGACTCTGCCTCATAAGATATTCAACAACAATCGTATTTTATAATTTCATTACTTCCGATACATAAATTATATGACATTTGTCACTGTCGTATCAATTTTTATGTCTACATCATTTATATTCTTTTTAACTCATTATTATTCTAATTTATACCTTTCAACTCGCATTGCAAGTGAGTTTTTGTTGGATCGACTTGTAACAAAAAGTTTCATATACAATATATCGTTTCAGCCTTGAAGATGAAAATACAAATCTTCGAAAGCTTGGCATTGCAATAAAGTTGTTTGCTTGTGGCCCGATTGACTGAACTCCCCGATATTTCCTATTATGTCAACAATTCCAGCAGAATGTTTAAAAAAATATTTGGATTTGATAATATGTCTGCTCATAGATATCAGTACTCTCAGTTGAATTCAGAATGAAGCCTGAATATACAAGAACTTCGAAACAGCGTCAAGGACCTCTAATTTGATTGAGTACGTCTGAATTATGAGGAGGTGTATGAGATCATTGGAATACAATTAGATGATTTATATTCATGTAATAACAGTGATGAAGATACTGATCACGTAGATTATAGTTTAAAAAATGCCAATAATACAAGTTGAGTGCAATTCCTCATATGAGGGTGCAAATGCCTACTCGATTCAATGAGTATATGAACATTCCAATGTGTTTCAAACTAGTTGTAATCAATATATTGAAGAAGTGAGTAACCCAGGCAACCAGATGACGACACGTTGAATAAACATCACTTGGATGGGTATAATATGACGTCAGTTTCATGACGTTGCAGAAACGTCCTTTTTATAGTTCGGTATGTGTGTACAATATATACACAGGGTGGCCTATTAAACGTATCTGGAGAACGGGGCATTAGATCATTTTGAGAATTTTGGTAATCTTGGGCGATCAGTTCTGTTCGATCGTTCTCAAATATTTTCAGTGCTATGGCATTGCTGCTCCTATAGATCTGTCACACGTTGGGGTCGAGCTGGTATCATTACAGAAACATAGGGTGTAAAAACTGAATGATGGTAAAGAACAATTCTAGAACAATTCAATACAAATGTAAGAACTTCATTGAACGATAAGATTTCCACAAAAATTTTTCGTTTATCGTTTATCGTTTGTGAAATTTCCACATTTGCCATGGATTTCCATCAAGTAACGGCCGAGTCGATCTAAAATTCAATACAAATCAAGATATTTTGAATTTAGTAATTTTTTGTGTCGAGACTATCAATTATTGAAGAAAAAGGCTTCCGTGTCTATCTCAACTTCAAATTTGCTATCTACTGACATCCAATCGAAATGAATACAAGGTGAATAATAATTCAAAATTGTTATCGCCTGCTTCCATCAGATAATACACAACAGATTGTGTTTCAATTGAATATCTATTGTTGGTGAATTGAAAATTGAGATATTGACATGGGAGCCGTTAAAACCAATAATGGATGGTTTCAACAAAAAAAAAATCCTGTACTTGAAAGATCTAGATATTTCACACCCTTTCTCCTTGTGATCATTCCCGATAGACCCAAGTGTGATGAACTGATGAAATTAGCTCTTCAGGAAGAATCTGCAATTATATACAGTGGGTTATAATCGGAATAACCAACTTGTTGCTACTTTTTGATTGATGTAGCAACACCGCAGCGCTGAAAATCTTTTTGAATTGATTGAGCAGAACTGATCACCCAAAGCATTCGATTTTCAAGATATTCTCATGTTCCATTCTCTGGAATTGTGTAATATAACATCGAGTTTGGGACACCATGTATATTCTAGTAGAGTTGGAAGGAAGAGAAGATATTATTTGTATGTATACAAATGATAATAGGTGTACCTATTGAAAACGTCACTTTTATGTCGTTGCAGTGACGTATTTATGACGTCTAAAAATCACGTCGATGTAACGTTCCAAGTTGGTGGGCTTCGTCATTCAGGTAATTTGTCAAAAACTCGTTATATAGATTTTTGTTGGGTAACAAATAATGCATGAATATACGTTTCTCAACAAAAGAAGATTGATTCGCCAACATCCTAATCATCACAATCAAACTATTCTTGGTGTACCTACAACTCATCGACCAAAACTATATAATTCTTGGTACAAATAATAGTAACTGATCTCATTCTGATGACCATTGAATGAACTTTTTTTCATGTTCTGGTTCCCACGTAAAGAGATATCCTGTAATGTTCAGGAAACATCGTGAGAACCAAGGGAAATAAGGTAGAAATTGGTGTTCTCCTTGAATTACTGGAGATTATATGATTCGGGGAACATAACACCAGAAATGTACCAAATATGTACGTCATTTCGACGTCACTGTTAGGTAAGTGACTGACATCAATAAACATGAGTAATATGACGTTATCGGGCTGTGACTCATTCACGTCATTCATCACTTCATACGACATTAACTTGTGACGTCACCTTGGTCATTCAACTGACGTGAGAAGACGTCACTAAAACGTCATCTGGTTGCCTGAAAACGAAGAGAAATAATCATCATTCTTACTCATTTTGGAAAATCGACCAGCACATTAATGCCTCATTGAACATCTCATATCCATAGAATTATTTGTAAAATCAGTTTGAATAATATGATTATGACAAGTTTTTTCAAGAAAATACAAATACAATTTCTCATTGAAATTTTTTAATTGGGCATATTCACTTTTCTGCTCCTTATTCTGAAAAAACTAAATGGTTTCGATAGTTTTGCCAATTGTTTATAGTCATGATGTGATTCGTTTCAACAAATATATCCTTGAAAAATACGATATTATGCTATGTAGGTATAGTGATGTAGTATGTGTATATGTCCCAAAGAAGTGATTGGTAGGTAAGTAATTGGAGAAAACATTCACCTTGAACGATTAGGACTTTCTGGAATGCCGTGAAGGCGCAATGGAATGGAAAGGCATCGATACAATGGCTGGATGCCATAAAGTTCTTCCACAAGTTGGCTTCTCCTAGTTTCAGATCGTTGAAGAATTCAGGAAGAGTGACCTGAAAGACATATGGTTTAGAAGCACCATTTTGCTAAGTGAACCGGTTTGAAGATTTCTCTTCGATATTTAGTGTTCGAAGAGACGACCAACTCTAATTGATAGAATACTTCTATCAGATTCAAAAACTGTTCTTCAGATTTGTTGAAAACTACTCGGTAGGAACCGTGTAACTGTGAGTCAGGGTCAGATATTCAAACAAAATATATGCAATTTTTCAGCCCCTGAACCATATTCATATTTGAAATTTCATCATGATGTTGACACTATTTTTACCCATGATACGACGAGAGCTTCGAATATCACCAGAAATTAGTTCGAGGACGTATTCAGAGAATTTAACGCCAAAATAATATTGAAGAGATACTTGGATAGAATTTTGCTGAATAAAATACAAAATAAGGACTTTGGTTACGCAAAATTCCATTGAGCCATATGGTCCACTACCAAACCATTATTCTTGACTATAACATTATCCAACCATATGATTAGTGGAAACATATTTTATTGAAATGAACTCGAAGAAGTATGTAGTAGTAATAAAATCTACATGCATAACATTGTTAGGTTGAATAAATTACAATTTACTCACTACAGTTACAAAAATTAAGAAGAAATAAGACGATAGTAGTACAATTTCACATTTTTTCACAACTTCATTTTACTGAAGTTAGTAAAAATTAGGGCTGTTCAAGAATATCGATATCTATATCGAATAACGATATTCATAGAAATATATTGATATGTCGTTACTTATCGATACGTATCGATATATCTTTATCAGATATACAGGGTATTCCTTAAAGGTCTCCACAAAAATCTATCACTTATTCTTCAGACAAACAGAATTCGATACACGCAAACTCACCTCAGTACAATGTTGCTCAATTCGGACGCTAGATGGCTCTGAAGTTAAAATTTTCAAATTGTTCTTGCTTCATTACTCTGAAACGGTTCAGATTTCACGCGGAAACCGAAACTCAATATGGTTACTCCACCAAAATCTCTGTAACTACGGAACTGCTCACCATTATCGCTAATAACTCGCTCAAGAAAGCCTCATCTGAGACGAAAAAAATCCTTGAGAAACCTATTAACTGTCTTTTTCAGAATCTTTCGTGAAAAGTGCCCCCACTTTCTGAAGCAATCAGTAGCCACCGATAGATACTTGTTTCCATCCTTACTCGTGGGGTATGGTCCCATCAAATCAATCATTGACACAATTTGCAATGGGCGGTTAAACTCATTAGGTAGTCGCACAAACTTCATGCGATAATGACACCCATGTTATGATGATGAATGTCGTTCCATGGGTGTAGTACTTCATTTTTTCAGTGAATGAACATCTATAAGTCCTCCGTCAATGATAAGACGGGCGTTTGAATATGGAATTCAGATTGCGAAACTTGTTTATTACAGAAAAGGTACTCCTCATTGAATTTGATTTTTTCCATGGTTTCGACAAAATTTCAATTGTTGTAATCAAAAGCATCAGTCAACCCTGAAGCGATCACAGATATTCAATGAAAACTGTTCAAAATGTTCATCATTTTCACGTATACAAAGATTCATGAGACGGAAAAAATTGATACAAGAAAACTCATATTGGTACAAGGTTGCTCAATCTTAGCCCTAGGCTGCTCTGGCTCACTCAGTACAAGAAAAAAAAACAGCAAATAACAGCTGATACCACATTTCAGTTTTTCAGTCGTATGAATCTTTGTATACGTGGGAATGATGAGAATTCTGAACAATATTTATGAATTATCTGATGATTGTACCAGTGTTGACTAATGCTTTGAATTACTTAAATTTAGATTTTATCGAAATCATGAAAGTAAGTAATCGAATTTTATCAGGAGTCCTTTTTTTGTAGTGAACAAGTAACGCAATCTAAATTTTATATTCAAATTCTTTCTTTCCATTGACGTAGAAGCTTAAATGTTTATTATCTGGGACTCATTTCAGTGAAATCTCATGAGCAGTTCTAAAGTTATATGAAGCAAAAACTATTTGAAAAATTGTTACTTCGAGACGGCTCGAGCAAAAACTAAGCAACTTTGTAATATGAGGTTAGTTTGCTAGTATCGGATTGTTTTGGTATGAGAAATATGTGATTAGTTTTTGTGAAGACCTTTCAGGGATGATTTTCGATGATATCGTTATTCGATATATCGATATGTATCAATATGACTTCGGGGGTTACTTTGACACTTTTTGGGGCAACTTTTACAATGCCCACGTGTAGTCTTCACAAAGCCACTCCAGAGTTAGGACATGATCAAGAGATATTCGCCGCGACCGCCGCATCCTTTGAGAAGTTGAAACGGACCGCGTACCGCCAGCGATGAGTTTTGTTGAATTTGTTTCGAAAAATAAGACAATAACACCACCTTCGCAGTCCTTTCGATCTTCCATTCCACTTCGCTGTTTCGAAATATTGTCGTGAATCGGGATGGTTCACGACTGACTAGGTAGGGTAGAGAATCTTAGAGCAGATAGTTCACAACGAATTGATAAAATTTTATCCAATTATTTAGAATACATTTCTTTCAACTGGTGTTACATATAGACCAGTGCTGAAGCCTTTGAAAACGGTAAAATGTGAAGAAAGATCATAGTAGGATGAAACTAATTGAAAATGAAACAGAATATAATAAAGATGAATGGGAAACAAATTACGGGCGATCTGAGGTCGAGAAGTGGAAGGAGGTGATATTTCGAGGGTAAAAAACGGCTTATCTTGATTTTCAGCAAGACAACGTGCCCTATGGAAGAAAGTTGAATAGGAAAGTTGTAGGAAATAAAGAGACCGACAACTTTTGTGATCACACTTCTTTCACATTACTCCATAATTTATGTGAAATATTCAAATAATCAAGTTTTTGGTTTTTCATTTCTTATGCAGAAAAACATTTTTTTCACGATATTTGGTCAAAACATACCTTTTCATGTCCTAAAGATACTGTAATTTTCTTGATTCAAAAAATCTATTTTTTTTCACCTTTATTGACTCAATATCGAGGAGACACCCTGATTTTCAATAAAAAATCCTAGCGTCAAAATATCAGCTTTAAAAAAAAATTGCGGCGTTTTTTGTTCGTTGAAGTGTCTTCTTTCTGATAATGTGAGGAAATAGATACATTACTATGGTAAATGTTCGCAGAAAATGTGAAGAGAGGAAAAAATCACGAATTCGAAATTTTTTCAATCTCTATGTACAATTTTGAGTCATTTAATCACGTAAGATTCTATGTTACATTGAAAAACTAAACATTTTTATTTGTTTTACTAGGCAGAAAAGTAGTAGATCGACTGCCGCGGCTGATAGTTCATTATTATTAATTCAGCCAAGGCATTCAATCTACATTTGCTGCCGTGTGAACTTTTTCTCCATATAATATAAAACCAATTTTGTGTAATTTTATCATTGAAAAATCCAAAATTTTGTGTTCACCCAATGTCAGTGTCAATTTTGATTACTCATTTCAATAGAATTTCTTGGAACGTTGCATAGGAAAAAATTTTTTCTGCCTAGGCAGAAAAAGTACACCTTTTCTGCCTGTTGAGCGACAGGAAAGAGCCACTATCCCTGCCGCTTGGAGAAACAATACAATTATATAAAGATAGGATTCAAAGGGGGGATTTCAATGAACAAATTTCATTTCTTTCAGTTGGAAAGTTTATTAATTAAATTCTAATTACATTTAGTCTTAGAAAATCTCATAATTCATAAATCAAAATGTAGGTCGTTCTATTGAATTTAGATACTTTATACTGATTCTCATGAACGACTCATCAAAAGGGGTGTACCACAGGGATCCATACTAGGTCCTTTTTTATTTTTAATCTATGCCAATGATCTGCCTTCACACATGCTTTCAAAACATGAATTACTGACAATATTGTATGCAGATGATACGTCCTTTTCTATTCACCTGAATCCCACATGCACAGACATTGACGATATTTCAGCAGACGTTACTGCCCACGCAAAACAATGGTTTGATAACAATGAATTATTTTTGAATGAAACAAAAACAGAGGTATGTCTATTCTCGAATTATCATGTCCACTCAACTAGATCACATTCAATAAAATTCTTGGGAGTTTATCTAGATCCATCCCTTACTTGGGCCACACATGTTGACAACATCTGCAGAAAATTAGCAAATTCAGTTTATGCCATTAGGCGCATAACTTCAACTGTGAGCCAAGAAGCTGCTTTAACAGCATACTATGCAATGTTTCATTCAGTGATGAGCTATGGTTTGCTATGCTGGGGTAGTTCAAGCTATACACACTTACAAAGAGTTTTTACACTACAAAAAGCGGCTGTACGAAGCATTGCAAAGGTTAGTTATACTGAACATTGCCAACCATTTTTTCAAGCTTCAGGTATTATGACCTTATATTGACAAATTGTCTACGAAAATCTCATACATGTTAGAAAAAATATACACACATTCACTAAGCATTCAGACATTCATGATTATAGTACCAGATATGATCATAACATTGTACCTCATAAAAAGAGATTAGAAAAGAGCAAATCCATAGGAATATCTCTTTTCAATTCTCTTCCTACAGATATCAGAGATCTGCCGTTGGATCGTTTTAAAAAAACGTTGAGAAAGATTCTTGTCAGAATGAGTCTCTACAGAATCAACCATTTCAGTGAGTTGATCAACGACTCTTGTAGACAACTGGTGCTATCTTAATTTTAATTTTGCTTGATTTTTAATCATTTTATCCCTTGTAATTTTTGTTTGTAATTTCTTTGTTTCTTTGTATGACGTGTCCATAACTTGTATACCATGGATGTAATATATTCTATTCTATTCTATTCTATTCATTATTCATAATGATATTTTCAAAAGCATTTATATTTTTATTAATGAATCTTATCTTGAACCCTAATCACTTATTCATCACTTTTTGTTTCTTCGGTGGCATATCCCAATTCTAGTAGATCTTTGAAATCTTCAAGACCATCACCGTCTTTGTATCCAATATTTTTTTCAGTCTGAATTGTTCCTTCATCCACAATTTCATCTGAATCACTAACTTCCTCTGAATCCTATCTTCAATATTGAGAACAACTTTTTTCGCATGTCCCTTGCAATCCTTATGTGATTAAAGTGTGAATTTCACTAAATTGCTCAAAATTGTACATAGTGATTGAAAAAAAAATTCGGATTCGTGGTTTTTCTTTTTCTTTGCATTTCTGAGAACATTCACTATAGTGATGTATATATTTTTCCACATTATCAGAAAGAACAGATTTCAACGAACGAAGAACGCCCCGAGTTTTTTTTGAAAAGTTTATATTCTGACATGAGAATTTTCGATTGAAAATTAGGGTGTTTTTTCGATATAAAGTCAAAATGAGGTGAAAAATTGAATATTTCAATTCAGAAAAATTACAGTGTTTTAATGACATAGAAAGGTGAGTTTTCATCAAATTTCGTGGGAAAATATTGTTTTGCATAAGATAAAAATAAAAAACCAAAAACTTGATTATTCGAATTTTCCACATAAATTTTGAGGTTATGTGGTAAAAGTGTGATCACAAAGGAGAAAAAGAGATTTCAACGAACAAAAAGCGCCTCGAGTTCTTTTATGAAGCTGATATTTCGACATGAGAATTTTCGATGGAAAATTAGGGTGTTTTTTCGATATTAAGCCAGAATAAGGTGAAATAAAGCATATTCCAAATCAAAAATATTACAGTGTCTTGAGGACGTAAAAAGGTAACTTTTCATCAAATTCCGTGGAAATTTTTTTTTGCATCAGATAAAAATAAATAACCAAAAACTTGATTATTCGAATTTTTCACATAAAATTTGAAGTTATGTGGAAAAAGTGTGATCACAAAAGTTGTAGGTCTCTTTATTACCTATAACTTTGTCATTCTAAATTTCTCCATAGGACTTGTGGTTTTGCCAGAGATCGAGATACACCGTTTTTTACCCTTGAAACTCACCCCCTTCCACTTCCCAACCTTAGATCGCCAGTAAATTGTATCTCGTTTCATTTTTGTTATATTCCCGTTTTTTCCCAACAAGTTTCATCCTACTATTATCATTATTTCTTTCAAATTATCGCCCCTTTTTTAATAATGAATATAAGAAGGAAAAAGTGACTTACTTGCTATTCAACCCTAATTACGTCCCAATTGCGACCCCCAAACTTACTTGGGTAATCTCACTACCCAACTTCCTGCCTAGCCGTGCTCTCCTTTTCGAACAACCGATTGCTAGTTTTTTATACATTGTTAATTCAAATGAAATGAATAATTTGCTTAAAAAAAAGTTGTACTTTTCACGACAATATGAGAAACAATCACTAACATCGCAATTTTTTCAAATCAAATCACAGAATTGGATTGACAGATATATGATTAGCATTCTGGCTATTCCGGTACTTGGAAGAAATTATATGTATTCATAGGATGCTCACCTTCATGTTTTCGATTCCACTGGTGCAGTGTTTTGGAATCCAAGGCGGGACATCATCAGATATATTCCTTTGAGGTATAGTATTACCAAGAAATAAGGCCCATTCATTTTCAGGAACTGCGTTCGGGTATAATTTGTGTAAAACGAATAATAAGAACTTCAACCTATCCAGTTTAAAAATTCCTCGGCTCATGTAGTTGTATATAGTTTGAAGAAGATGTTTATAATGCAATTCACCATCATGTCCTGCTGAAAAATACACAGTGCTTGATGTTAATGCATATGAAACAAAAGAGTATACTAAGGAAGGGGATCGAACCAATTCTCAGAAGATTTAACTAAAGAAAGTGGGAGAATGATTTGGAACTACAAATAATCGGTGCACCAAAATATATTATTTTTGTATATAGACCTACTTCGAAGTTGAATACCAACTTTCCAGAATTTGGAACTAGTGCGAAATAAGGAAGAGCGTGCTACAGCTAAACATGGATTTGTGCCACATGTAGGACGCCTAGGTTTTTTTATTTCATTTCGTTTTTAGAGAATTGAAAAAATATTCGTGTTTTTTTGGCATACAATTGATTTGATTGGATTCAAGATCGCAGCGCCAAAGTGGCCAGTTGTGGAGCTATATGAAAGTACATTGTTTCGAAATGGTTCTTTTGCTTGTGTGTATTATTTCAATTCTTTTGGTCGTGATTTAGGAAAAGAAATCTTCACTTATGACTAATTATCTGTGTACTGTTATGATTCGATAGAGCTCTTCAGCAGATATTTGTTCAATAGAGTATGTTTCACGAACTCCAAATACATGAGATTCGCAAAATAAAATTGCTCCAATCTGATGTTACGGCAGTTTGCATTCCTTTTCCTTTTAGTGATGAAATAAATAATACAAAATAAGTGGAGTGAAGTGAATATGATGATGCAGTTCACAGAATTTCCAGGTATTTGAGATGTACTCATCCATTTTAGCCGAGTCATCCACATATATTTTTGAAAGAGAAAAAGTCCCAAAGCTAGATGTAGGGTGTCAATTGTTGATCTACCTAGTAGGAAAAATTTAACATATGAGAAATGATTCTATTTCTTCAAATTTCTACTCTGATTTTCCACTCCTGGAAATGAAATGTAACTGAATTCAATCTCCAAGTTAGAAAAATTCTTTCGATTATACACTGATCGGAATTATAGTTTTTCGTGGAATGCAGTGAGATTACTGTTATGAATGACAAGTGCAACCGAGCATTAATGGTTCAAGAAACTCTACTGACGAATTCAAACTCGAAAAATATCACGATGATCACTGAACTATCGATAAAATGCATAGAAACTCGAATGTCAACAAATATTTAATAAACTTTCCATCAGTTGCTTGAATATCCGCAAGAGGGCATATCTCTTATTTTGAATCGCCTATAGAATGTGGATTAGGTAGACTTAAATCTATTCACCAGCAGTAAAACACCTTTCCTTATAATATGCTATCGAAAATGATGGAAAACTCCTATGCAAGTTTTCATATTGGGTCGAATATCTCCAACACTATTTATTTCAGCCCAGTTGGGGGTTTTGAATTTTTGAACTCAGTACAACTAGTTTACACAGTCCTGTGGCGCAATACCGAAAAAAAAGTCCTATTCGGAGATGAATCCGTGAAGGAAATAGATATTTTCTTCTCTCAACCTCAAAACCCTATATCTTGAGAACTGAACAATTAATTGACGACCGAATGTTTCGACCTATATTATTTCAAAATCGCGTGGGCCATCACCTGTCAGGCTTTGTCGATCGAATTATGCAACAGCCTCTTTACTTGAACCTATGGATTCTCCATCCTTCTCGAAGGTTATTTTAATTCATTAAGGTCGTGCATAAATGGAAGTCAAGCAATTCAATGTTGGCTTGACAAAGTACGGATATTCTACTTTAAGAAGCTATTCTTTTATTGAAATATGTCGTGTAATAGAGAATGTTAGGAAATCTCATGGTTTGTTAAGTTATTTTACATTTTCTATGTATTTTCATGAATGAAAGGCTGAGTCGATAGGAAATACTTATAATTTACTGAAACCAAACACTTCAAATCTGCTTCTGCTGTTGCTGCTGGCGGTCGTGGAAGTGGGGGATGATGAAACTAAGAAAGGGTTCAAGAGGAATGAATAACACTGTTCGTAACAAAGTCGAACTACCTTCCTTTGAACAGGAACACGATCGTGGTCCTCCATTTATTCAATTTTGTATCGAATGAATAACTTGTACGTATAAAAATTGCTTGAATACTTTGTTTTCCTGCCAAATGAAGCATTATTCGCGAGTGTCATCTTCTCCAGATATTTGATTTATATAGATTTATAGTTGACTATGATACTCATGAATATTATTCACTCCTGATGTAAAAGTATTGGACCGTTGTATTATGGTTTTGTTACTGTTATCTCCATCGCTCTTGCTAACATTTTCGGTTAGTTCAACTATCTTCATACTGTACTCATCATTACAAATATTTTGTAAAAATGAATTCAAATTCTTCTTTCGATTGGGTGTATAAGTCAGGAAAACTATCAATTCTCGTAGTGGTCCAGTATTTTACGAAAATGAAAACAAGTTAACTCTAAGTATGTCGACCACAAAAATTTTAAACTCATCACAGGTAATACATTATCGCCAGGATCGCGTCCACAGAGCGGATTCTCCAGTTTTTCCCACGAAATGATATCATTCATTTGTTGAAATATCGCAGTGTTATTTATCGGACTATTACAGTGTTTTTCATTTTTCATGAGGAAGTTACTAATCAAGCTACTACAATATATTTCCTGAAACAGTTTGAGACTGTATATCTTGCTTTTCGGTGTATGATAAATTGACATTCATCATACAGGGCGTGGAAAAAAATTCTGAATCGAGACTCTATCACGAATCTGCGATTAGAGGTCTATAGAAATCACAAGTTTCCATCGTTCAAGTTTTAATCCCCTGAATGGGTATGAACGTGTTGAAAAGGAATATTGTTAGATAAATTATGGACATACAAAACGGATATACAGGGTGTAAATTTGAAATTTTCCAATGCGAATATCTCGCGAAAGCAAAAAGTTAAAAAAACGCCGTTTGGCAAAAATGTTGAAGAGTTATGGGGAACTAGAACCACCATATTTCGGTCAAGGGATGACTCACTCCGTCGGCGCGACACACCCCAACTTTGAAATGTCAAATGGCACTACCATTATGTGATGCCTCAAATAAACAGTCTCAGTCAGTAGTATTCACCTGTACAATACTTTTTTTCCACCCACTACAGGGTGTACGAAAAATATAAAGTCGAATAAAATAAAATGAATTGTGTTAAAGGGATATTTTATTTGATCAGATGTTCAAAATGCATTCCATTCTGTTGTAAGAAATAGTATAATCGATGTTCCAATGCCATTCCAACATTTTGGAACACATCTCTTGGAATATATCGGCAATCTGCATTTTATTTTATCCGACTTTATGTTTTTCGTTCACCCTGTAGTGGGTGGAAAATGAGTCTTGTACAGGTGAATACTACCTACTGAGACCGTTCATTTGAGGTATCACAAAAGAGGTAGTGCCATTTGACATTCCAAAGATGGAGTGTGTCACGCCGACGGGGTGACTCATCCCTTCACTGAAGTATGGTGGTTCTAGTTCCCCCTAACTCTGTAGCATTTGTTCCAAACGGCGTTTTCCTAGCTGTTTTATTTAGCGAGATATCCGCATTGAAAGTTTTCAAATTTAGACCCTCGAATTAATGTTTTTCGTACACCCTGTAGTGGGTGGAAAAAAAGTCTTGTACAGGTGAATACTATCGACTGAGACCGTTCATTTGAGGTATCACAAAAGAGGTAGTGCCATTTGACATTTCAAAGTTGGGGTGTGTTGCGCTGACAGGGTGACTCATCCCTTCACTGAAATATGATGGTTCTAGTTCTTAACTCTTCAGCATTTTTGCCAAGCGGCGTTTTTCTAACTTTTTCATTTCGCGAGTTATTCGCATTGAAAGTTTTCCAATTTACACCCTGTATATATATTTATATGAAGCAATACATTGAGAATTCGCATTCTCTATGTAATGAGAGTATTTACGGTTTTTCAGTTTATTCAATAGAAAATAACTACTTTCCTGGCTTTATGCCGATTTGAAGGAAAATGTCAATTCCCAATTTCGGAGGATTTTACTTTTTATTATTCATGTTCTCCTTCTGAATGTTCATCAGGAAAGTAGTTGTTTTCTATTGAATAAACTGAAAAAGAGTAGATATTCTCATTACATGGAGAATGCGAATTCTCAATGTATTGCTTCATATAAATATATATCCGTTTTGTATGTCCATAATTTATCTGCGAATATTCCTCTTCAACTGTATATCTTGCATATTATGCATTTCTTGAGGTATTATAGTCATATGAACTTCTTGCCCGAGAATCACTAGAAAAGCCGCCCCTTGACGTTTGACCACATATTTGAATGACACCTCACGTCTGCATATTACTAAGACAGTAATCACTACCTATCAGAAAAAACTGTGAATTGAGTCCATTATTCCACTTGACTCTCTTCTCATCGCTATAATTCCATGATTTCGAATAATTTCTATACCACAAGACTGAATTATTGATAAGGAATATTCTCAGATATAATATATAAACAAGAAGAAAATTGATTCATATAAAGAAATACATAGAGAATTCGCATTCCCTATCTGATAGAAATATTCTTTCTTGGCATACGAAACAAGAAACAACTATTTTCACTTCAACATCTTTAGTTCAGTAAAATTGAACATGAAAAGGGGGTCATGCTTGCCAAAGGTCCGGTCGTTCAAACAAAAACAAAAGAAATTCGAGAATCTTTTTTATGATTCCTGTAAGTTTCAAACTATGTACAAGTCAGTACACTTCTCCTATATATTTCAATTTTCCCATTGATACTGACTGTTTTATTTCTATGTTATTATAGATCATATCATTTATCTGATTCGAAAGTGAAAGTGACTCCTCAACTCCAGATGCTTTTGATGGTAATACCGAGTATGGATTCAGTGATCTTGGTGAAAATAGTGGTACCAGAGGTTCTACAAATATAATTCATTGTTTGACGTGGCGAATAACCAGGAGAATATTCGTTCCTTGTTGGATATACCAAGAAAAAATTCATATACGCCCTTATGATTTTTATGTTTATATCGTATATGAGAATAACGTTTATATCGTATATAAGAATAACGTTTTTCAATACTTCTATACCCAATCAAGGGGTTCGAACTTGAACAATGGAAATCTGTGAGATCTACAGACCCTCATTACAGATAGGTTAATGAGTTCCCTCAATCCAGATTTTTTCACGTCCTATATGATGGATACCAAATTGTCATACATCGAAACAAAACGTACAAGAACAAACATTTATCGTTTGAGGACTAATCCGTCATCATACCTTCAAAACTACTCATTCCTTGGTAGGTCTGGAGAGACTTCAGGAATAATTCAGTAAAGGCGTTCACTGATAAGAGATAAATGATATTGGATCTCGCAAAGTCGTTGCACGCGAAATATAGGGAGCTGCCATATTGAGCAATGTCCCTGTACATGTCATACTCCGATTCTAACTTGGAGCGCACTTCAATTGTTTCTCTCAAAGCCGAAGTGATTTCCTCGGAACTAGCTTTCGTTTTATTCAGAGATTCAAGCAGTTTCTGCGAAGAAAAAGATATTAATTGAGTACAGAATATAGATTGTTTGACAAAGTTAGTATTCACCGAGTCCTGTAGAATATCTCCTGTTGAATTTCCCAAATCTTCAAGCAACTGGTTTTGCAGGTGATTCAACTTTTCCTCCATTACTTCTCGGTCTTTCAGCAATTGTCTCTTTCTGTTTTCAAGTTCCGGGTTCTCTTGTAGGATACTGGCACTCAGAAGTTGTTCTAAAACAGGAAGAAATCAGGAAAACAAATAAGAAAGAGAATAATTATCAACCTGTTAGTCCTGCACCAGTAACAGTGAAGTTCATCAAATTAATGAGTGGAATGATTTCAGGAGGTAAATTTATTTGTTCATTTCTGCTACAGAGAATCAATTTGAATTCACTGTGGTAGTCCATCAGCTTGCCATTCAGCTTTATCAATGTTCGTTCACCTGAAGTTTGAAGATTATCATGTATTAGATTCCTGCAGAATATCACGAAAGTTATCTCGCACAACATTTGGTGGTGATAGTTATTTCATTGAACAGTTCAAATAATCTGGAAATTCAAATTCTCAAAGCAATAATCGTAGAACACTAGAACAAATATCAGAATGGAAGGTTCTACAGTAGATGTCCAGAATAACTAAGCTCATATTTGTAGAACGAACATGTATACTTCTTGGAGACAGCCTGTTGTAAAACAAGAAAAAGTTTTTTTTGAATGCAACAACACCTGACCGTGATTACCTTTTGGGCTCAGACTGTTGCGGATGTCCTTCAATTTTTTTTTTCAGAATGATTGGAATATGTGGAAAATGGATGATTGATATATAAAAAAAAATATATAGCCCAACTGTTTCATAAAACGTTTCGTCAATTTCACGGAGTGAAATATACAATTAGATAAAATTCCATGTGGAGTGGATTCCTTATCGATTCAAAAATGTTCTGAATAAATACCTAGTTCAACTGAATATTATGTGTGAACTTCATTTTGATTTATCCCAGAGTAGAAAAAATTTTAACACCTACCTCATTTCCCTATACTTCCTAGGTACGCTCGATGTTTTTCGAACATCATAGGAATTTCCTTCTGTTCGCTCTAAAAGATGAGGAGAATCATCATTACTGATTTCTATGGCGGAAGTTTCCATTATCCAGTACATTCATTACTTATCTCAGGGCGCAGAAAAGAGAATGACAATCAAGTTCTAAATACATCGTAAGTAGGTACCTAGGAAGCATAGGGTGAGAAGTGTTTTGGAATTTTTCTGGTAACTACTCCTGGAGATCATAAGTTCTTGGGATTGTCTGTTTTGGAAAAAGATTCAAAGCTTTGCCGTTCTATAAACGTACGATTTCTGGTAGGGAGTTGTTCAACATATCAACGCAAAGTATAACAATATAGGCAAGCAATCATACACTCTATCTTCCAAACTGTTGATCCCTCTTACATATAATTCAAACCAGTTCATTTATATGACCTTGACTCCATGCAAGGAATCCCTAAATTGTGCTCTTGGTGTTCCACAGCAATGTGTATTATGACAATCAATAAGGGAAAAGATAGATTCAAGAGATGCTGGTACTCTCGATCGAATTGAACTTATCGATTTTTTTTTACCTTGATGCGTGAATTCCTTTCTCAAAATCTGGAATAATACCGGATATACTGTGTCAACCTCTTCAATGATGAGTGTTTTTCCAAATCTGCAACACGCACGATAACTCATAATTATTGTACAATTATATTGTATCAAATGATTAATACTACTCACCTAACAGCCAACTCTAAAGTTGCAATGAATTTGGATGAATCTTGGTTGATACACTCGACCTTCTTATTTTTCAGATGTTGCTTGATCCAGTTGGAAGCAGATGAAGTCGGATCCATCAATAACGGCACTGTGTCAGCCTTGAAATTTCAGGAAACATTCAATACACAGGGTGTTTTGAAATTCAGTATCAAGATTTCATGGACTCTTTTTCCAGGTCGAAATAAGTTTTTTCGAATCGTTACCGATTTCCACAACGTTTGAGATTCGAGATTATTTCTTAATATCTTATTCAGTTATTGGAATATTCAGGTCAAATTTGATCAACATTATTATTATGATAATTATTCCTGGTCATACTGTGTGCCAAATGATTGTGAGAATCTACAGGAAGATATTTTATCACGGTTCAAGCCTTTTTACGCTCCATATATCTCTTTGGAGTTTGACGCTGGTAGATTTTGGAATACAAATAAATGCTTCGTGTTGCTCATGAATTAGTTTAAACTAATTTGCGACCGTTATAAAAAAAATCATTATTTGTAATTAGCCGAGATTAATTGAAGTTCTTCAACATAACAATTAATAAGAAAAGTATCTAGTGGGCTTCGACTGCTATTTTTATTCTGAAGTTCAGGTTTGTTTTGAGACTTGCAACATTATCTGGGAGTTGATGGATATTTCATCATGTAAAGAATATTGAGACTTCAAAATCCTATCGATCGATAAGGAACACATGTTTATATGATGATGAACTCTATCAATTTGACCTGAAGAATAAACCCCAAAAATCCTGAGACTGAATATTGTAACATGCTGTTCATATGCCTCATACTAAGGGTCAGTGAAATTACCGGAAGCAATGGATTTCACGATGTCGAGCAATTGACAAATAATGACAAAATCAAAGATGATGGATAACATAAACCCAAAGCAAAAGCCATCCACATGGAGGAGAAGAACAGAGCAAGGAATGAGAAACCTTTCCGGCTGGAAAAACAGGAAAAATAGAAATCATAAAGGAGATGAGGGTATACCCAGACGGAAAAGGTTGTTATTCACAACCCCATATGTAATGTTGTCATTATTTACATCATTGAAGGTTGGGAAGTGTCACATTACACACCTCTACTTCCCGCCCCCACTTCTTGACCTTCTCTACTTCCCTCCCCCACTTCCCGCCCTCACTCATGTTTTTTTATTTTGGAGAATTAGGCGATTCAACAGATAGACGCAGCTATCCACTAATAGAATCGCACAGGTTACAAATTTTGATCAGTATTAACTTAAACCAAGACAATGCTATAAAAGCCGTTCTAAAATCAAAATTTTAATAGCCCTAATGGGAATGATATGAATATTTTCAGATCTAGGATAAGAAGTACTTATTTCAATATACTAGACAAAATATAGAGAATAATTGGAGAATAACAGAAAAAAAAAGTTGGATCTCTAAATTATTCTAATAAAATAATCGGCATATTTTATGAACTATTATCAGGAATTATCATAAACAACCTAGTCAGTGCAATTCATACATATATTGCATATTCAAAAATGGATGAGAAAAAAAAAACGAAATCATTACTATCGGTTATACAACGCGGTCTTCAACTTTCTCTTGAAAATATTTATCCTGGTCGAAAAAATATCAAATTCTTCGTCATCTAAACCATTACAAAACTTCATGCACTTATATAGTGGAGAATTAGACATGAAATTGGTAGTTATCCTACCAGGTACGAATAGTAGCCGATGTCGCATAAGATATCGGGTACAATTCAAGAGGAAAAAACTTGTACAGTATGGAGAATCAATAATGTCATTGACAATTTTATAGACAAAGCAGATATCAAAGAATTGCCTTCTCAAATTTGAAATTTCAAGCTTGTGAAATATAACATTACATTCATAAGAGAAAAAATGTCATTCATTAATTCATGCTGTACTTTTTCGATTCTATTTATCTTATCCTTATAGAATGGATTCCATACTATTGAGGCGTACTCTAGGTGGCTTCGTACGATACAGTTATATAGTGTTATAATTGTTTCAGAGCGATTAAAGGATTTGGTGACTCTTAAAATGAAACCCAAGTGTCGTAATTCTTTTTGAACGATAGTCTCTATATGAGAGTCACATTTTAATTTGGTGTCAAGAATAACCCCCAAGTCTTTGACTGAATTAACGTTATTTATTGATTGTCCATTCAGTTTGAGGTCAAAATGAGGTGGCAATTTGCTTCTGGTGAATAGGATTTTGTGACACTTATCAAGATTCAGTTTCAACTTGTTTAGTTCACAATATTTGAAGAAACTTTCAAGGTCAGTTTGAAGCATATTATAGTCTATGTTGGTGATGGCTTTGTAGACTTTAAGGTCATCTGCGTATAGCTGTATATCCGTTTTTTCGAAGCATTCATAAATGTCATTTATAAATATATTGAGCAAGAGAGGACCTAGGTGTGACCTTTGCGGAACACCAGAGGTGACTGACAATGATGAAGATCTAGAATTATTCACAACGACATATTGCTTACGATTTTCGATATAGGACGAGAGTAATTTCAATAAATTTCCATGCACACCAAAATTACGAAGTTTAACAACAAGTGTAGGATGATGTACCTTGTCGAAGGCTTTCGAAAAGTCGGTGTACACAACGCAGGTTGAAATTCCTTTTTCCATGTTCGAGTAGATTTCTTGTACGTATGGTATTAAGTTAGTGAGCGTTGATCTTTTTTTATGAAAACCATGTTGCCACTTATTTATTACATGTTTCAATTGGAAGAATAAGTTTTTAGACAGGATTGATTCAAAGATTTTTCCAAAATGAGAAAGTATAGATATTGGCCTATAGTTGGCAATATCATTCTTTCTTCCCGACTTGTGAACAGGTACGATTTTTCCTATTTTCCATTTAGATGGAAAAGTTTCTTTCACCAAGCATTTGTTGAAAATAATTCTTAATGGTTCTACCAAGGATTCACCACATCTTTCAATAAATATTGGGGTTATACCATCAGGCCCCGGACCCTTATTGATATCCAAATCATGAATGGCTTCAGAAATTTCCGTAGCATTTATATAGTACACCTCAAAGTTGTTAGAATTATTTACATCACTCTGAACTGAAGTAGACGTCAGGTTAGGTTCAAAGACACTATTGAAGTATTCAGAAAATAGTTCACAAATACTCTCATTATCAGAAGCAACTCTGTCATTTAGAGACATACGCGCAGGAATTGACCTATTATTTTTTTTATTAGCCAAATATGACCAAAAATATTTGGAATTTGATTTTATATTATTTTCTGTTTTTTGAACGTAACTGAGGTAATCTTCTTTGATCTTTTTTTTCACAATTTTACGCAAATTGGAAAAGTTTTCATAATCATCATTATTTTTATAATTTTTCCACTTCTTATGCAACTTTTCTCTTTGTCTAATATTTTTGATAGTTTCTTTAGCAAACCATACTAGAGAATCAACAGTTGTCTTAGGTATGGTATTTTCTATGAGTCCATTGACTATAGAATACAATTTATCAACACAGGTATGTTTAGAACGAAACATAGATTCATCAATTTTGATCGAAATATGATGGTTGTAAATAAAATAGTATACAAACCTCGGTAGGGAGTCTCATTCCTGTCTTGAGATTATAGCTTACCTCGACGCTTTGCGTCTTGGTTAACTAACTAATCCCACAACAGGAATGAATCACTTTCCACCTCGGTGTGTATTATACTTTTACTCTGACTCTTAGACCCCTCCTCAAACACACTGCCAAGGAGACCTATGCTCTACGGGTTTCCTTTGTAAACAAAGCAATTCACAATTCTAGCGGACCAGTTTCAGCGCAGTGGTCTTGTGATTATCGCACGATCAAATGAACACTCAAGCCCGTAACAGGAACTTGAGTGATTATACCTCTGAAGTACAAGAAGATGATTAAACAGTATTCAGGTAACACTTCACATCAAACATTAAAATATATCAACGCAGGCATGGATTTTCATCAACCGATGCTATTTGGAACATTTCACGAGATTTCAAGGGCTCCCTCAGAAAACCAGAATGTAGATAATTTTGTTAAAGCTTCAGCCCTATGAGGCGATCTTCGCAAAAAAATTACTTTTTGTGCAGATAGATTACTATTTTGATTTGGAAAATGATGATATCCATCGATGATGTCACATTACAATTCCACTGTTTCCAAACATATGGAATGGTCGGAACGGTCCGCTCAACACTTGCGTGGCTTGGAATGGAACCATACGGAATCAGCTATTACAACAAAATAGTATAAGTATGAAGATGAAATTTTAGTGAAAGGGTTGGAAAAGACGATATAGTTGGACTGCTGAGAATCAACAATATCATCGCTTTACATGCACAAGGATCATCAGCAATTGAGGACCTGAAGTTATTTTCAAGATCGAATCATTGCTATCAGCATTTATTATGATGATTTTCATTGTGCATTAGGAAATGTATATTATTCAAGGTAAGTACTGGTTTCTCCATCCATAGATTTTGCAATAATTCGCGTTTTCCATTAGGGAAAAATGAGGTTCTGGAATATGGACTTTGACAAATCAATAATTTTCAAATAAAACACATAATTATGGAACGAAATACTGATTTCCCTTCATTTCACGAGATACAACCGAATACAGCATAACAACAACAATGAACCTATTCATGGATTATAGTTCGATCACACAGTAATCCACTAATCAGTGTGTGAATTTTCATAAAAATGGGACAACAACAAGAAAACATACTCATACATTTTGGATACATTATTGTGTCATTGTCATTAGATATTTGGAAATAATATCTTTCACCATTTTCATTCACATAAACGAGTAGCAGTTCTCCTCCTAGTCCAATTTCAATGTTCACTTTGTCCATTTCAGGCAATTGATTCTCTGTTTGCTGTTGTTCTTGATGTTATTGTGACGGCTAGAGAACTGCATCTCCATTAATGAATGACACACATCACCCATAACATATCGTCTCCAGTTGCATATCATCCGAAATATCATTATCATTCGTAATAGGTCCAGAATGACTTTCTAAAACATCACTATGATTTATGCATTCCATTCTTTATCATTTCCCTATTATTTGGAACCAACTAATAAAAGGACACCGCACGTTTTATAGGGAAAATTGGCCTCCTGTCGAATTGGCTGAATTTTCGATATGTTATAGTTCAATACATTCTGAACAAAATGTCCAAATAGCAAAGCGTTCTAACGTCTAGCTTTGGCGCTAGAGGCCGCTGAAGTCTCAATCTTGATTTCTTTTCTCCTGATGAATGAGGCTCTTTGAGCCATTATTATGTTCAATTTAGATAGGGTAAGTCACTACTAGAAGTATCCATTAATATTCTTGCTACTGGTCAAGAATTATAGAATGTGTTCCAGCTATTATTGTTCAAGACGATAATAATATTTATTTATTTCATAGAAGAGGAAACCAAGAAATGAGAAATCAAGAAATGTCCTATTTCAATTACGAAATACGTTCATTCAAATTCCATGTTCACCCTTTGTATAACGAGAAGATACACGAAGATATCAACCCGTTTCATATAATTCGAATCAAAAAAATATTTCAATATTCAATATTAATGTGATGATTTTTTTTCTAGTAATAATCTCCTATTTGTCGGGGTTTGAGGAGGAATGTCATTTTGCGTTCTCCCTCCTAAAACAGTTCGTATACATAGCATCAATAAATATGCACAAGTAACAAAGTTCACGAACTATTCAATATCTGCGATCCTGCCTCATGAACTAAGGATGATCAATTGATGATTTTTGGAAGCATAGTACGATTTTCGAAGGCGTGATATCTGAAATATATTGACATTCATTTGAAAAAATATTCTAGGTAAAATCAGAATTTCTTGACGAAGTTACAAGGAATATTCATCTAAGATGCAAATGAATACTGATATTACTGATAATATCTGCTACTGTCATAGAACGAGTTGATAACGTTGTATATCTCCCCTTTTTATACTAGGTGAACATCAAATAATAATAATAATATCAATAGTAATAATGATAATGATAAATGTTTTTATTAGAAGAACTGTTCCATAATTGGAATGCGACACGTGACAATATCCTTTTTCATTGAATTATTGGACATCATCATATCTCCCCCATGATTGCTGGAAAACACTGTATAATTCTTGACCAACAGCAAAAATATTGAAGAACTTCTTGAAGTGACTTATTCTATCAAAAAATAATATAATAATAGCTCAAATTGAAGAATTTATCAGGAGAAAAAATAAACACCATTGAGACTTCAGCGGCCTCAAGCGCCAAAACCATCCATTAGAACAGTTTGGTATTCGAGCATCTCGTTCAGAATGTCTTGGACTATAACATATCAAAAATCTTGCCAATTCGACAGAATGCCGATTTTCCCTATAGAACGTGCGGTGTCCTTTTGATTTCCTATTGTAAATTCTATTTCTTTTTGGGATCCTACAAATCCATTATTTTGATTCTTTTGTGTGAATCCAATTCATTTCTGGGGACCTTCGAATCAATTCATTAAAGGAAAATCACAAAATAGGTGAATCTCAATAATCATTTTGTAGGTACTCACTTTCTGTATTGGTATAGTCTTTTTGTTGCATGTGATGATTTCGGAATATTTACTGATGGTTCTGAAGTTTTTACACACGTTCTGGTGGTTGAACAAAACTTCCTGGGTTTTGTTTCAACTATTTTGTGAACTTGCTGCATTTTTCGAAAAAATGAAAGCCATTTTCAGCACTCAGACACACCTCAAAGTGAACTTCGGAAAAAAATAATCGAAATTCACTCAAAACAACCGTCGTCATATTTTTCATCATTGTTGTTCATACCCGCAAGATCTGTAAAGTTAGCCACCAGAGGCAGCATACTTCGTGATTGTCGCGAATTCATGCTAGTGAATAGGCTCAGAATGATTTATGCAGAAGATTATTCTTTTTTTGAAGCAATAAAAACTAGGAAGTACGGACATAGAATAACAACAGTCTCAATGAACGTGAGTTGATTCTTCGAGATTGACATGTGGTCGAGGAGGTGAGTTGGCTGCATGAGGCAAACAACCAGCAAAAGATTAGGATATTGCATGTTTCACTCACTTTGAGAATCATTACTGCATTTTGTATGGACATTTTATCAGAACAGAGACCTTCACTCTGCCATTGCATCCTGTCCCTTTCGGTGAAGAAGAAGGTTTCAATATCAATTTTTTCTATACCAATTTCAGTTGTCCATAATTCCAAAATTCTTCTGAAAACAAAAAATTCTATATTATTCTTCTCAGTCCACAATTTCATATCCAATATTACAAAGATAAAAAATATATAGTTGGAACAAACAGACACAGTAGGCATGGAAACATAGAGTTTCAACTTGACAAGGAGATGGATGAGACGATATGATATTTCTTGCAATAAGTATGCATCCATGTAATTTTGTGTTAGTTTACAACTTGTCGGAATAAGATTTTATGTAAGGTGAATATATTCTAACAGTATTCGTGCGACAGCAGGGACTTAACCGATGTCTTCAGTAATCTATTTGGGGTGTTCAGAAAAAAGTCCTGACATATATACAAGGTAAACTGGGGAGAAAGAGGCGGTATAAAGGTTTCGTTTCTGGGTCTGTCACTTCCATGTCAAAACTGGTTCATCTAAGGAGAAAAAATTCAGTATCAAATGAGATGTGATAACATTTTCTACAACTACGTGATGGAAAATGTGGATAATTATCGTTTATTATGGAAATCAAACTTTCCGGTGCGCCTGGCTCAGTTGGGAATTTGGAGAAAGTATATATATAGAAGAGAAGTTGTGAAGAGTTTCATTTGATCTCATTCGATAACGTGATTATGTCTCATAACGAACCATTACTGGTATATTAGCGTCAAGTTCAAAAGCGGAACCCCTCTCTTAGCTCATTTCCTAGACGTCAGTTCTTTCAGTGTGTTCGCCGTCACCTCAACGAGTTTTTAAAGAAATCGCTTAGGTCCTTGCTCACGCATTCGCAAACCACTTTTGTGTCATTCGCTTTCATACATACTTTTATGACTGTGTCGTAATTTTTCCCAAATTTTGTTTTTTATTCTTTGGGATCAAGAAGTCAATCGGATACACCCTGAACATCTCGTCATTCAGGGAATCATCGCTAGTGCTCCGTAATTCTCGTTGATGGGATTATATAAACTGGAGTAAAATATTAATCAAGAAAATCTGATGAATACTTGTCGGAATATTTCACCACCAAAGACTTTTGCCCAATCTATAGGTTGGTAATTTGATACGATCTGTTCATCAAAATTGATAAGAGTGTACAAGGCCGCGGATAAAAAACATCAAGGTATTTATGGTCGACAGTGGGATAGTGGAGGCATCTTGTTCCTCAATCAGTGACAGAATCAATCCATGAATAGTGTTCTTCAAGGAGATCACCATTTTGAATAAAAGTGAGGTGAAATTAATCAGGTGATATCAAAATTAAATTCATATTATGAAAAAGTATACATAACGGATTGACGCTGATCTGATTTTATTGCTGGTCTCCGACTATTCGAGATTAACCATGAAATTATCCGGCTCCACTCATGCCAATTCACCCTCAGAAGCTTGGTAGTTCCATGACAATATAATCCAGAAAATCACTGAGCAGCAGTTGCATTAATCGCCGAATATTTATGACAAAACAATACATGTCACCCGTGATATATTGATTCAACTTTCCATCGCACACGAAATTTTCTTTATGTTCAAATCTTCTAGAACAAACCTGTTCCCAGCCTGTGACACAACTGAAGTTTGAATCATTGGAATCATCCGATGGATAACTTGAAACGATAAACTATTGTGGAGAAAGTTGAATATTCAAGCCAAATGAGTCGTTATCATTTGCGGCTATTTGTTTGATTGATCCACATTGATTTCTAGATGGTTTTGAATCACACATCTGGATGATTGAGAATCGAATGAATTTTTTACATCAAATGACGTATCATGACGAAAAGTCATCCATTATACAAGGGAATGAAGTTGTAGATTCAAGCTCGAGGTTTTAGCGGAGGAAGACAAAAAACCGTCAGCTAAAATCTAATATTCCTTCTGTGTATAATGCACTATTTTTTTCTGTGACAGGACGAAGGATGAATCAGTATTGAGAAGATATTGAATAATATCAGAATCATGAAATTATCGACGTGAAATTCGAAGTTTCAAACAGGAATTGCTTTTGCATTGCAGGCATCTTTTTGCAGGCATAATTATCATTCTCTTGAAGTTTTCAAATGTCTGTCAGTCTAAATCTGTGACTTGATTCCGAAAAATCGCAAACTATTTATTTGAGTAACCACAAAATGGTATGAAAGGTAAGAGGTTCTTTCCCTGTGTTATTGGCTTATTTTTTGGAATATATATCCGGGAAAGAAGTACTAAGTCCTTTCCGTTGGGAGAAGAGTAATTCATGGAAAGTCACATCTCATATCCTGTCAACAGGGATGAAATTCCATACTTTCTACATACTCCACCGCCACAGAAAAAAATACAGTATCACTGTTGAAAATTCGATGCATTTTATAACTTACTGCCTTTTCTCCTCGGATTCACCTGATAAATATGTCATGAAAGCCGACATCAGGAGACAGTCGTTTGGTAATTTTTCTATTTTGCCAGATAATTCTCTCAACTGAAATCCATTATGATCAGAATAAAATTAAATCAGAAATGATTGATCCTACCTGTTTTTGCCATCTCTCATATTCATCACTCAGTTTAGATACTAATCCTTCTGCAGAGCTGAGCGTCACTTGTGCTCTGTTCAAGTCTATTTCGATTTCAGCTGCTTCTTTAGTATACGATGAAAGTTGCTCTTTCAACTTCGCGACTGTCGCATCAACATCGAATAGTTCTGCACTCAGTTCACTCAACTGCGCCTCAGCAGTTGATAAGTTCCTGAAAAGAGCAATCACATTTGTTATGTTCTTCCTAAATAGTAGTTTTTTTAATTATTCATGTTATATGAATTTCAGAAGGAACTGCTTATTTTAACTATATCATTCATTACTATACTGACACTGAAAACCACACCTATACAGTAAGTTTAAAATCCTATCATCACCATTGGAGTCTTGGAAATTATAGGGGATATAAAGAAGGTTGAATTGGGCATGAGTTGCGCATTAATTCAAGTAATAATATGCCGTTCAAAAAGTTTCGAGATCGCAAGTATGTACGGAGACATACGAAGGAAATAAAAAAAAATTCGGAGAATTGTTTTTATTTTTTTCTGGCTTCATTCATTGGAGGATTTCAAAATGCCGCAGAATTGCTAACCGGCGTTTCGTATCTCCGCCACCATCATCAATATCGTTCTCCAATGAGCGCCATATTGGATTTTTTCTGTTTTGAACTTCTCTTTCCGATGGTGCATCACAAATTGTCACTTTTTCTGGACAATTCGAAGATGTTTAAAACAAGAGTATCATAGTAGACTTCGAGTCTCAATCTCACTCTCAATCTGTCATACCTTATGACATGCGGTTATTTTGTATGTCACTGTATTCTTGGCAGAAATGGCTTCCACATAATATTGTTAGTGAGTTTGAAAGATTGAGGAGGAGAGAGTGACCCCTATCCACAGTTGAAATTTCCACCTTTCCCAATGGAACACCCTGTATATATATATCAATTTTCTTCATTTTCATTGATATATCTTGAAATATTCCTCTTCAATGATATTTTTGTGCCGTGCGTTTTCATTGAAATGAATAGGGGTAATGTGTTTATGAAATCATTAAATGCTTTTTCCACAGGGAAAATGACCTCATGATATTATTCTCCATATATGTGGATTTCTATATGATTTCTATGAAGGGTTTCGAGAAACATGAACATCAGAACAGTATTTTTGCGAACGAGAATAATCATTCATTTGGAAAAGGTGAGTTCTACATGAAGAAGTATATCCTATCTGGTCTTTTTCTCAGATGTGCAGTTAATTTGGAATCACTAATTTTGCGAGGAAAAAATTGGAAAAAAAAAGCCAGTTCTGTTTATTCTGATATTTTGCATATGGGGGTTATTTTTTCTGCAGGAAAATCCATCATATAATTTCAAAGAGAATCGACCCTTTTCATTTCAATAAAAAAGCATAACACTATCTAAGAGGACGTTCGTCTCTGGAAAACTGTTTATATTGATGGTTTTCCTCAAAATTCGGTACCAATCGCACGACTTATAGCTGAGATATAGTGGTAGGGCTGTTTGAAGTAAGACGCTGTAGGTAAATGAATCGAACAAACCAGAAACTAACGACCTCTTGAGAGACGATGAGTAAAAGGAAATTCACTCGAGCCAGATCAACAAAAATCTAGAAATTCAGTCACGACAGCTCAAGCACAAGAGGGAAAATCCTTCATAGGCAAATATTTCATTGAAACAATGAACTATCGTGATGTTTAGATTACTATTCTGATACACAATTTCTGAAATTGACTCTAAACTTTCGACAACACAGCTGAAAAATGTGTACTATGTCGACTTACTGTTTTAATTTGTTCTGTTCCTTTTCAAGCGGTCGGATGTTGTCCATGACATATGAATATTTGACGTTCGCCGCCACCCATGATGCTAAAGGAGCAGCAGCGACGGAGGCCCTTTTGGCCGACTTTTGATCGAAAGATTCACTTTTGGCGGCCATCAGACGTTCGACGGCTTGTCTATTTTCTTTAGAGATTCTGCTCGCATCGAAAGATCTGAAACATTAAACACGTGTAGTTTTTTTTGTAGCACCTTCGTTAGTATTGAAAATATCATATGTCCAAATGAGTAAGCTTGTATTTGACTCTTCATTTGGTTAGGATTCAGAAACCCGATTAGAAGTGTTTCCGAGATGAGTTTGGAAATGATAATGGAAACTGTTGTAATTTGTTTTATACAAAGATGTCACGAGTAGAACATTCAGTATATTAGTAATTTGTAACCATGAGGGTTTTATAAACATAAAATTATTCAAATCATCAATCGACATTGAACTATGAAAACTGACCAAGGAACTCTCATGAGAAACGTGCAAATCTAATAAAATGATGTATATAAATATTGGATATGAGGGTTCCGAAGTTAGTCTGGTCTGGGGCTACTCTTGACTTGACAAGAGCTCGTCGTAATGGTCGTTATAATGTAAGTTGTTATTAGGTCTTTATATCCATTGTTGTTCATTTCATGCTATAATATATATTGTTATGTTTGAATGTAGTCTCGTACTTTCAGTTACCCCAAAACTATTAGTGCCTATTTGAATATTACCTCTCGCAAACTATTAAATCAATCAATCAATCAATCAAAATCTCATGTTCTCTTGTTTTTCAATTAGATCATTTTGTTCATTGAAGTTTTCATTATTTTATGTATTGAATATAAAAATGTGTTTTTATATGGGGCATCTGGCCAGGATTTGCGAACGGTCCAGCATGCTAAAACTGGACTGCCTCGGTTTGATCGTCAAATGGGGCGTTCCTGGTAGTGCACACAGATAGGCATGCTAAAACCATCTGTACCCATACAAAAACTAAGTTAAAAAATATTCATTCATTTCCAACAACAAACAACCTCTTAACCCTTTTGTTGTGACAATATAACCCCTTTTATTGTGACAATATCTTCGACAAAATAAACTACTTCATTGTCGCCACAACATCGTTCATCACGTTGACAGACTCGAAAGTCAGGTTTTCCCAATAACATCTGGAATGATCAAATCACGAGTCCGTAGGACGAGTGATTTCATCTGATCCGGTTTGTTTGAATGATTTCGCCTCAAATGAAATAGTTCAAGTGATAAAAATGGAAAAAAAAATAATGAAATTTAAGGAACGAGTTGTATTCGGAAAGATTATGTTTTTTACCAATTTGATGAAAAGACAGTAGCAAATTTCACCAGTCAAATTATTACTTCGTCCTTCTATAATGATTGATCAAATGGTTCTGAAGGTAATGTGTGTGGGACACCTTCGTGATGACTGCAAGCGAGGATGCGCGAGTCGTAGAAAGCGTATAATATAATTTTCGAAAGAAATGAGACATGATTCTCGTTATTAAATTAGAAGATGATCAAAAGTGAGGTTCTGTTCATTCGTAGAATTTATTGATTTTATTGTCACTTACAGATGAGATAGGTCGGAAGAAACAAGATGGCGGACAATAGTGAGTCAGAAAAATGTTGACAGTTCAATGTAGACAAGGTATCAAGGACCATTCGATTCTCTCAGTATACTATCGAATGATTGGCTACAATCACGCATTGCTATTGGTTGGAACAACGATAACGCCACATTTTGACATGTGAAAAAAACACGATCTGATATTTTTTCGTTCGTTACGGGGATGCTTCCATGGAAATTGATATACAATTTCAAATAATTGCAGAACGGAAAAATATGGGGAGTCTCTGAAGTGGGCGTCCTGATTTCGAATCCGAAGTGATTCTCAACCTTCCTTGTGTCCTAATATAAATTTTCGGAAATGTGGGTGCATCCATGGCTCTTGGCCAGCAGTGTATTTCACTGAAGATGACCCCACTTGGTCATAGTGTGAATTTTTGGTATTCATCTCGCTCCTGCAAATTTCAGAATCCTAACTCGACAGTTACGTAAGATAGAAGTGAGTACACTGTATATATTTTTTCTTCTGATTGAGGTTCTCTTTCCGAATACAATGAAGTACAACAAAAATACTCGATCAGCACTAGAGTATGGAAGTAAGAATTGCTGGTTCGAGGAAAAATGACAAAAAATGTGTATGAAGTGATGTGGTTCGCTCAAGAAAGCTGGCATATGCCCTTTTGCAGGTACCGTCCATCACTTCCCTCAGAAGTGTTTCTGTTGTGTGTTTCAGGCTAGTAATATACTACACCCTCTCACTTCTTCTCTCGAGCTACTAACTTCATTCTCCACTGAATTCATTACTCGCATTATGAATAATTACCAAAGTCTCTCTCTCTCCATCTCGAAACCCTTTGCTCACAAAATCGATCGCTTAACACTAGCGCTAGTCCCGCTCCGAATGTTTATGTTGAAACTCACCTGATATCCTCTTTTACTCCCCTTTTCGCCAAAAAAGTCTTCATGCTGTTCCAAGACGTGTCCTGGATGCCCATCAACCGCAGCACGCCCTCCAGAATATCTCTGATGATCTCAGGTGGCGCCCTCAAGGATCTTATCTCTGACAGGGATTCGGACTTTATGTTCCCCACGGCCGATCTGGCTTGTTCTATCAGAGGTTCCACTTCAGAAAGCTCTTCTTCGATTTCCTTTTTCCTTTATGAACATAATACAGGGTATACATAAGGTCGACTCGCCCCACAACTAATAGTCTTTCGACTCTATATTCAGCTAAAATTTAGTTTTTCATTCAATTTCACCATCAGTACTACTTGCTACGAATTGAACTTCTCAATCAGAATTCTGTATTCAATCATTATCCCTATAAACGAAGGTACCAACCATGACATCAGATAGATCTCAGAGTTTTTTTTCTTCAACTCGTAGGTGTGCACGGATGGACTACTTGGGAGAATATTCAGCGGATGATGCCTGGAGGGGAAAATGTATCGATGTTGGCCGAAATATGACTATGTAGTCCGATCAAATCGTATTTTTCCGGAAACATGAATCCGGTAGGAGGTTTCCCAACGGAATCATATGTTTCGAGAGGCCCAGAAGCAGATATAAAGTTTGCTGCCTCGTAGCAGGACCGGCTCGTAGCAGGACCGGCCGAAAAACGCGAAAAACATTTTCGGAGTTTTGCCGGTTTCCCGCTCATATCTTGCAAACTACTCACCAGACTGAAAATATCATTGTATTCAGAGTTGAGAAGCATAAAATTCTGCGCCAAATGACGTTCTTGTCTTCCTCATTTTCAATCTTATAAAGTCGCTTTCGTTATTCGAAAATAGCCAGTTTTCACCAACTTCTGTGAAAATTGCAATATACTCACTTTTTGACGACTGTGTTGGAAACAGCTAACTAATTCAGGTGAATAACTTGCACGATAAGATATCAGTTATGAAGCATTGCATCCCGAGTTTTTGAGCACAAAAAATTATATATATTCGAATCAATATACAGGGTATATAATTACATAGAAAGATTTCAACCACAGATTCTAGGAGCGAAAGTACAAAAAATTTTTCATATCAACATGGGTCTAGGAATGATCTCCTGGGATGTATACCCATCTGAACTAGTGCCCGACATGATGGTTTTGTGTGAATATTCTAGAAATCCTATGTGATAAAATAATCAAATCCTGTTCGCATACATAACTTTCGATTACCGATCTGGAAGTGGTGAGACTTTTCCAAAATTTCGATTAAGGGCATACGAAATAGGTGGGACTATGGGCACTTCTTATCTCACCCTTTTTGTTTATGCAATTTTCGAGGTGTACCAGGAAATATGAAAATCTCATTACTTTTTCACATTCACACTCATGAATAATATTCTTGTTCAGTCTCGATAGCTCTAACCAGTTTCGAGAGAGATTGATTTTGAAATTCTGCTGCGTAGTCAATTCTGACATTTCTCGAATGACGATAGCGTTCCTAAGAATTTGGGAATATAGAAGATAGAGGCACCATTCGACGAAAAATGTATTGCTCTCCAAATTCGAATACCGTAATATTTCCGTCCGGTGAGTCGTTTTCAAGATATGACCGGAAATCCGAAAAAAATCTGAGAGAGATTCCTGCATTTTTCACCTGAGCCGATCCTGCTACGAGGCAGCAAATTCTGGTCCTGCGACGAGGCAGCAAACCTCAGATTCGCTTCCGGATGCCTAGAAACATATGATCCCGTTGAGAAACCGCAGAAGAGCACTTAATTACCTACAAAAATGATCCCTATCATTTTTGCCAGGAATTCAACCGTTTCCGAGATGAACGAGCCCAAACATAGCCTGGATTTCAAGCTGCTACCCCGCGTCACGGAAAGCACGCTCCGTGAATATAGGCATGAGCGAAGGAGAAATTGTCCATAACTTTGGTGAGAATCAATTATTTTCATGATGCAAAGTTCATATGGAAAAAGGAACCTGTGGATATTATATGGTATTCACTTTACCTTTTTCATTATTCTTCTGCAATATTGAAAAATCTAGCCTAGGTTTGTTTTTGTTCGATATTTGTCCCTCCTTATCAATTAATTCATATTTTTTGACACGAGAGTAGGTTCACCGAATCCTGCTGAATAATGGGGTTCTGATAGGTGATAGATTCATTTCGGTAAAATCAATCCAAGATTTATGTGTATATTCCTACACAACGTGTTTTTCTTGGGACGTTTTTTTTATTTCTGGAGTTCTCGAAAATGCTTAGGTCTATCGAAAATTGATAATTAATAAAAGTCCAAATCTGTCTTCGATGCACATCAATTCAGAGGATTCTTGTAGGTTTTTGGATCATACTGGATGAAAGATCAGCCACTCACATTTTGATCAATATACAGGGTGAGCCAAAGGAAAGCATTCAAACTTCAGGTGTGTATTATACACGCGAAAATAATTTCAAAAAATCCCATATATTTTGGAACTTTGCTCATTCGTTTTAATTTGTGTGGCAATTTATGAAACTTTCATCTTTCAAACTCGCAAATAAACGCATCGAACACGCTGACACTGACACTGATACAAACACATGTCAGAAAAACAAAACGGACCAAACAATCGAGTTTGTACGATAAAACTCCTATGAAATACCACAGATTCAGAATGAAAACGAATGAAAATCGTTCATGAGAATATATATTGTCGGAGAAATGACAAAATCAAGTTACCGACAAAATTCGAAAATGAGATTCTGGGGGCAATCGTTCGATTGTATTGGTGGTTCGATTGTATTGGTGGGGACGCGTATGCGAAATCTCACAACTGGCAAAAAATTCGAAATATTTCGAAATCCATTGATACGAAACCCCTCATCTGAAAAAAAAAAATGTTTTCGCTGACTGAGCTGAACTTCGCCCTTCATTTCCACTGAATTCAAATAATTGTTATTTCAATCATTGTAATTATTGTGTTGAAAATGAAAGAGACCAACTGCTATGAAATGACCAAATATAATGAGGTGGGCTATTCGAAAATATCAACCTCATGAATCTTCTGGAGTAGATGGAATATACCCTATCCTGCTTCAAAAGGTTCAGGAGATACGAATTTCACATCTGTATCGTATATTCAAGGCTTGTCAAGCAATACCATATGAACCTATCCTATAGCAGAAGGGCGAAACACACAATGAATCTCTGAAAAGGCTGCGTCGTGAAGGCAGGTAGCCTTAACCCCATTCTGAAACTCATTCGAATCTTAAACTTGAGATATAAATTTGAAATTTTGCGATAACGGGTGACTAATTATGGCAATTAAAATGGAAATGCCAAGAATATCCTCCTTTTTCCCAGAGTTTATCGATGCAACATTTGTATTTGTTGAAGGCGCCAAATTAGTTCTTGGTATCATAGAAAGGGGTTTGAAAATCCTCCTTTAGTGATGTATAACATGTTAACATCATCGAATGAAAAAGCGTCATGAAACAGTAAAAACATTTCCAAATGCTGTAGACCATGATATTGAGGAAAAAAATATCAGTCGTCATCACTACAGTATTGATAAATCCTCAGAGCCATGTACTACACCCAGAAACTTGATGCAAAAAAAGGAAAATGGCACCTCATGGTAAAAATAATTGATACGATTCAATACCTCCGAGTCAGCTGTACATTCTCTTCTTGAGTTTTACTCTTCAGACTTTCCATCTCCTCTTTTTGTGTATTGGCATTCTTCATAGTATTGCTGATCATATCTAGCGCCGAGTTTGCTTTCGACTGCTTCTCTTGCAATTCAATCCGCTTCAATTCTGCTTTCTTTTTCAACTCATTCACCAGAGTTTCTGCTTCAGTCAGTTTCGCCACCCCGGCCTATAAAACGGAAGAATAATGCTTGAAGAATTAACAAACTCTGAATGGGGCAGTTTCCTAAGAAGGATGGGCGTCACTGAGGATGAAGCAGCTATAAATTCACGAAATGATTCGCTCAACCACCACTTACCACGTCAAGAGGAGTCATACGATGACTACAGAAGCCACTTGTAGTCATACTCTTGAATGAGCATACGTCACAATGATGCGCATCCTACCTTCAATTCTTGTAGCTTTGCTCGAATCATATTGATACGTTATATATTGTCGCAAACTGTTATTTGAAACCTTGCAAACACGTTTCCATTGATAACAGCTTGATTCGCAGTAATGGCGGCTGATGATACTCAAATTGGTTTTCCATCCATTAGTAGTTGTGCCGTGAGGGCACAGGATCAATTTTGATCAGTATCAAACTGAGTAAGAAGAGTAAAGTAGGATTATTGGCTTCTTCAAGGTCATAGGCCTAGTTGTCTCGTATGTACCAGAATACTGACACAAATGTTATCTCGATGAAGTAACTCAATATCCTATATGGATTGAATTTTTATTGCTGTCAATATGTTAAATAACTATAGAGGATATAACCTGACAACGCATGTAGATATATACGAATGAATCGAGCAAATTAGATATTCAGTTACTGTTTTTTTGTCTTCATTAGATAATTATTGCAATTTGAGATAATTAAGGAAATTATGCTCCATCATCAAATAATAGGTTGGTTTCGAGCGATATCAATTCTTTATACCTGTGTTCTGTGCCCAACTCTGGCATTCTCCCGGATGCCAACGGCAATTGACAATAAATAGAATGAAGAGATTTTGTATTTCGTGTAAATTTTTTTTTTATTATAAATCGCAAAGCGCTTTCGGCTAAAAAGCCATCATCAGTGCTATACTCGTCAAGTATATATACTTATATATACTTATATACTTGACGAGTATAGCACTGATGATGGCTTTTTAGCCGAAAGCGCTTTGCGATTTATAATAAAAAAAAAATTTACACGAAATACAAAATCTCTTCATTCTATTGATCAGTTACGTGTATGCAGCTAGTAAAAATCTTCACCTAATTGACAATAAACCTTATCATTCCTAACATGTATTGCATTATCTTTGGGTACGAAGATTAACAGGGTCATATCTGGTATTCTGAAGGAAATTTCAGATCAAAGTTGACTCTCTACTGAAAAATACTTCGACATATTTGGATTCAGAACACTGGTGAAAAAACATGGTGCCATCTGGATAAACATGGTGACTAACAAACCTCTGCAAAATATTGAGAATACCTCATGCTCTCAATTTGATCAAACATTTTTGGGACTTTCTCCAATCATATTTTTGTAATGCTAGAGCATATTTATAGAAAAGGTTCTGCAATTTCTCTATCATTCCTTCAAATTCAACACAAACATCATGAGGAACATGTGAGATTCCTGACTTCTGACCAATAATATTTTCTTGCAGCGCTATTTTCAGAGATTTTATTTCTGTATGTTTTCCATACTTCGATAAAATTTATTTGTTTTTCATACAAAAAGTGTTCAACAATAATAATGGATAAGTATTATCACAAGAAGATGTAGCTTTACTCATTTATTACCATGATTTCCATAACAGAGTAAAAACGAGAAAATGAGTATACAAGTTGATTTGCTGTATCGATGGAATTCATGTTCGAGTGAATTTGAAGTGTTAATCAATCCATGAGATCCAACAGCTATGATCTTTTTCAATGTTGCTTATTATGAACCGCTAATGTACATCCATATAATATCTAGAAATATCAACATCCGTCATTAAATGGAACATATGAAGCTATGGTGGAAAAGAATACTACTGAGTGAGTAAGAAAGTAGGTGTTTCCACACATAAGCTTATACATCAATTAATTTCGCAAAACGCCATGTGAATGAGATATATTGGAGTCCAAGAAAATATCTCTGAAAATGACGCGCAAATATAAAGTATTCCTGATTAAGAGTATAAAATCGCAGTTTTTTTGGAATAGTATTCCTTCTTTCAGTCCGCAAAGAGATGTGATGGAAACTGTGGAACCATTTAGAGAAATATGAGGCGTATTATGGAAATATCAATGAAGAAAATTCCGAGAATTTTCCATCAAATGGAGAAAAAAAAAATTGTCTGTTGCAGGTCAATTAATCAGCATTTTCCGTCGAAATATTTTTTCAGCTCTGTAGAACTTTTGAAATATGATACAAGAACAGGAACCTTCGTGATTTTCGCGAATTTTATTGATGACTGTCACAAGTAGATTGTTGGTGAATATCGCTGGATCACTGATATGGATTGAATGTTATATTTTCCGTACCCTCAATTTTTGTTGTCTTGATTTTATTCCATGGAGGTTCTCTTTGTATATTCTTTCGTAAAGCTTCATCATAGTAATGAAACGCGATGGTGTTGAAATAGCCGACTTAGTGATTTGATAGATTGTGGAGAATCCTTTGTAGCAACTTGCCATATGATTCTCGTCACTAGTGCCTATGTTTCTGAAAAAAATGAGAAGATTGGTTTACTATTAAGGTGTAAGTTATTTTTATTTATTCATTTCACCTATCCAGCAAAGTTCTAGATATTTCTGCTATGGTGGATGTACTCCAATCCTTCATCCATATAATTGAACTATGCATGATAGAGGGGCAATTTTGGAATATATTCCAGAGATTTTCGTTATCTTCATCCAGACACACAATTATATGCAGATTTTTCCTTACTCCTAAAAATCATAGGGAATCTGATTTGAAGTTTTGATATGGGTACCAAATCACATACTGTGAGAAAAGTATTGAAGTAGACTACCATCAAAATTATCTCTCTCAAATTCTTCTTTCAAAACCTTCACCAAAGAGTCTAATTCTGGTATGGAATAGAGATCGGGGACCTGAAATATTAACCTGGTATTTATCAAGTGTCTAATGATGGAAAGAATGGTCGAACACATTCAATGAATTCCTTGAACAAAAATAATATTTGACTTCCATAAAGGCAGTTGTGTTCGACAATATATCGACTCCATATTCCTTACTGAGCACTAACAAAACAAGTTACATCGTTTGAGCAAGATGGCAAACGATCAACAGTGAGGGATAACGTATACCAAGTCATATCCTCGAGTAGTCAATAATAGTTGAATATACATCAAGGTAGTGAAGAAAATCATTATTACCCAGGGACTCAGATTATATTTAGGGGCTTGAGCTGGAAGGTATTCTTCTTTCAACCAGGCATGAAATTTTCACTTCACCCCTCGATTTTATGGCAGTGAACTGGTACTTCACTGCCCGCGGCGTAGTTACTTTACCGCTAGCGTATGGGTGATATTCATTCTTATACAATTCAGAAATTTAAATCGCAGTTGTGATGGTTTCCTATCTAATATCACGGTTCTATTGATATTCATTAGATAAAGATATTTTGATCGAATCCAAAATGAGATGTGATGACATCAATTGACAGCAAATATTATATATTATTATTTTATCGTCTACACCTATCCCGAAGAATTGACTGAGTCACCACGGTATGATCGATTCCATCAATGATATTCTTCACTGCGGCCATGGTGAATTTCCAACGTCCTGAAGAGGTGAAGAGGTGATCACAATTTAAAATCGAATATACCGGTCGTGCATTAAATTTTGTATGTATCTCGAGCGTAACTCGCTGTTATGTGAGTGACACCAGTCAATGTCAAATATGATAAAACTGAAAAGACATTGACAACAATGAATAAATTTTGAAAATAATGGGAAAAGAGGTCGGGAGGAGAACAACAATATATCATGGGTTATAATATGTTTCAATGATAATCATTGGTATTTGAGAGTACGGAAAATCAAGCTACGTTCAAAATTGGTTTGATCATTAGGACAAGTGAAATTGGAATTATTCATACATTTTTGAATTTACTATTGAAAATTCTAGAAATCCAAAAATGTATGAATAATCACAATTTCGATTTGGTCTGATCATTAGGACGAGTGAAATTGGGATTATTTATCCATTTTTGAATTTCCAATTGGGAATTCTAGAAATTCAAAAATGTAAAAATAATCCCAATTTCAGTTTTCCTAATGCTCTTACCAATTTTGAACGTAGCTTGATTTTTCGTACCCTAGAATTCCGATGATTATCATCCAAACATATTATAACCCATATTGGTCTATTGTTGTTCCCCTCTCAATGTCTTGTTTCCATTGTTTCCAAAATTTATTCGGTTTCGTCAGTCTTCTCAGCTTTATCATATTCGACATTGACTGGTGTCACTCGTCATTGTCATGATTCTGTGTCATCACTTAATTTAATTTTTATATGTATGTCATGTGTTATTAACGTTGACTTGTGTCATTTGTTCTTTGTCATGTTCATCCTTCCATGTGATTTATGATGTTTCTATTTCTTCAAATTCCATCTTGCATACTTGATGAATCTCATGTGAGAGAATTTTATAAAACTTTTGAATGAAATCGTGCTGATGTATCTCTTTATGAATATAATGCTGATCTGGTTTTACTGGACTCTTTCCAGATTCAAACCTTTCTTGAATTCAGGACTGATATTTGAAATTTCGACCTTGGCTTTTTGATCAATTTGCTGTTAAAATGTATTACTGAGTTTTTTTTCTTTGACTCGGCCGTTACTTGATGGAAATCCATGGCAAATGTTGAAACTTTACAAACGATAAGATTTCCACAAAATTTTCAAACACACGACATGTTTCGCTAACACAGTAGCTACGTCAGGTGATATACTGGTGGAATGAACAAAACTAACGTTGGCTTGCTTGACTTTTATATATCCTACTTTCCCAACCTGAAGAATTAGTCACTTGTGGACAGGTACGATAAACCTCCATTTTCGGAAATTAGGCACAATATCTACATTGAAATTCGGTATACCGGATTGAATTGAAAGATATGATAGCGAATACTTATCATTACTTACTAAGAAAACAAATTCAACACTGGTGAACTATTGAGGTCTAATTGATCATCCAGTAAAATATAAAAAATTTTGACTTTATTGATTTCTAATGATTCAAAATGATTGTGTTTCAGTCCTTTATCTTCTACATGTATATAGAATTTCGAAATTATCATCAGATTTATGGTTTTCTTCTGATATATGGTTGGCGTATGTTGATTTTTTTTTTTATAAAATTCATCTTATGTTCATGAATGCGCTGATTGAACTTACGACCTGTCTGACCGATACATACCTCAGGACAAGATCCACAGTTGAGTTCGTATATTCGAAATATCAGGAGTATTCAAATCCAACTGTGGATCTTGTCCTGAGGTATATATCGGTCAGACAGATTGTACGTTTAATCAGCGCATTCATGAACATAAAATGAATCAAATTCAATATACGCCAACCATATATTAGAAGAAAACCATAGTTTTGATGATAAATTCGAGATTCTACACGTAGAAAATAAAGGACTGAAGATCAATCATTTTGAATCATTAGAAATCAATAAACTCAAAAATTTTGGCATTTCACTTAATGATTAATAAGACCTCAATAGTTCACCACAGTTGAATTTGTTTCCTTAGTAAGTACTGATATGTATTTGCGATCAACCCTTTCAATTTAATCTATAACAACTCTTTTGATGTTCTGGAAAAGAAAAAGATTTTTATTTGTTATAGGCACGGCAGCTCGTTTGTTTGGTAGCAGGTCGTGAGTTAATTCTTTTTATTGTTTACTAGTGGCGTTATCCTTTTGTCAGGCGCCACTCAGTTTTCACAGCTGAATTACTGATGAAAGAATTCAAGATATAAATATAAACCAAAATAACTGCTAACAGATTTATTCACCTTAACATGCCAACAATAGGTATTCAGATTGGTGGTAAACATGTTCTATGATTGTAACTCAGTACAAGGGTGGATTTCCCTTCATAAAGGCCTATACTTTGGGGTCACAGAGTCTCTAACAGACCCAATAATTCTATTATATGTAAAATCCGATCTTAGACTGTTATGTGTTATTGACAAGTGTATAAATATCTTTTGACATTAGACAGTGAAAAATATGTATATCAAATGTCCTCAAGACAGGGAAAAAATATGTTTGTTAAATGTCCTCAGACAGGGAAAAAATATATATTAAATGTCCTCAGACAGTGAAAAAATATGGTATGTTAAATGTCCTCAAGACAGGGAAAAAAATATGTATATGGAAAATTCTGACCTTAACTGCAAGTTCTGGATTTTGTACCATGAGATTCCAACTGTGGTCCACTAGATCTCACTACCTGGATTAACAAAGACACTCCTCCCTCAGTCGGCTTTAGGGGTTAGGTGTGCTAGGAAAACTAGATCTCCACACAGTTGACAGGAGTCACAACCACCTGGAGACCTGGGCACTTGTTTTATCCCAGGGCAACTGGATGCTGCGCTGCAACTCTGGCTGAAGGGTCCACAGGCTGCCAGCAGGGTAAGCTCTTCCTACCATCCAAGCTGGACCAGGACGTCTCACTATCTGACTGGGCTCTGGGAGTTCAGGCTCCAAAATGACAAAATCCTAGGGATGAAGGATCAATCAACCATACCGGGAGTCTGGACTCCCCTGGACTTCCTGTCAGAAGTCAGGATCACTGGCTATCTGAACCAGAAGGGCTGCTAGGGACTTGCATCATTGGCAGCAAGGATTCTGCCAGAAATTCCAGGCTGTCGGGTCCTTTAGATGCTCAGGAACAAACACAAGAAATCACCAGGGTTCTGCTTCCACCTTCAAGTGTATTGGTGACTCAGGCTTCAAAGCACGAAGATTTCTCAGGTGCCTCAACCATCGAAAGAAGTGTCCACGTGATGTCCAAACAGTGATGTCCAAACAGTGAAGTCCAGAAAACAGTTCAAGATTTCTAAATGCCCATAGTTGATGAGATTCGATATTTAGTGATCCATCCAGTTAACAGTGTTGATTGATAAAATTCAATTCAAGTCCAGAAACATAGCATGTGGTCGAAAGAGAATGGAGTTCAAATCATCCACTTCTGTACCCCGTACTCCCCTGTATAAGGCCGTGATATCTGAAATGTACATACCCTATCGAATATCATCCACACAAAAAAGATTTAATATTTCTTGCCTTCCTATCAATATGAATACAGGTGACACAGGACACTTGGAAACAAAACAAAACCACTGAACATAATCATAACAATAACTCATTTACAATGTTGCCAGAATGATACATTCCTGACATCTTCCTTTTTCACACAAAATAATATATTATTTATTTTTGATCATGTAATAAAATCTGTCAAATATTCTGGTTTTTTTAATCATTCGACCTGACCTCGAATTTTTTTCACCAAGAGAAGATGCTCGAGATTGTTCGGAAGATCCAGGCTCTGTACTAGGTTTTCTCATAACTATTGATTTATTTTTATTAAAATTTTTATCATGATCAGAAAAATCAGACACTATATTGTTATGACAATCTTCATTAAAACTTCTTCATCGTTCAGAGCTCCGATCAGAGTCCAGGATGAAATCTTCTTTTGGTGAAGCTTTATACAAACTATACCTATTCCTATCCACAGTGTTTCCTGACTGAACTTTGACTTTGTAACTTCTAGGTCTATCAGCAGATCCAATAATGGTATTAGCTGACATATTATGAACATCATCTTTGACATAGACAATTTCGCCCTTTTCAAAAGTATTTGGTTTATTATGATGTCTAATATCATGATAATATTTATATTTGTCCTGTCTTTTTTCCAAATGAGATTCAACGCTATCATCATTTTTCTTGAAAGACTCTGGAGTAGGCAGGAAAGCATTTATGTTTCGTCCAAATAAAATTTCACTATGTGATTTATTGATTTCACTATCAATTGGTGTATTTCTATACTCCATTAATGCT